TTTCTGTTATTTCTTTTGCATCAACTTCTTACAAAGAAAATACTTTATTTAAATCCTAATTCACAGTTTTCTCTTGTAACATGATTTTATTTTTCTGCTTGCTTATTTACTTATTTATTATGCCAATAATATATCTTTGAGGTCTGTTAAAATGACCAGGCTTTAACATAAATATACATGTATGTTTCTTCAAAGCTACAAATCAGGCTAGAAACATACAAGATGCTTAACACATTCAAATGAATGAGTTAAAAATCATGATACTCTCTCTTACCTGGTTATTTCAGCTTTTTTTTTTTTTTTTTTTTTTTTTTTTTTTTTTTTTTTTTGTGCTGACCCATTTTTTTGCAGCACTGAAGCCATTGGAGCTATGACATTGAGTTTGCAGGGAACAGAACTGGTAATTTTATGTGGGGGAGGTAAAAGAAGAAGTTAAATTCGTATTTTATTGTACAAAATCAATGTGTTGAAGTAGACACTATGTTTTAAAGTTATTTTGCTAAAGGTACTTGTAACTTGTCAGGTAACATATTTGAAATGAGGCCACAGTTTAGAGACAGAGGATCAGTTGTTTCTTCTTATTAGCTTGGGCTTTCTGCACTCCATCTTTCTGCACTTGTATATCTTCCAGCGACAGGACCCGCGGGAACGGGGTTAAGCTGAGGCAGGGGAAGTTTAGGCTTGACATCAGGAGGGGGTTCTTCACAGAGAGTGGTTGCACACTGGAACAGGCTCCCCAGGGAAGTGGTCACTGCACCGAGCCTGACTGAATTTAAGAAGAGATTGGACTGTGCACTTAGTCACATGGTCTGAACTTTTGGGTAGACCTGTGCGGTGTCAAGAGTTGGACTTGATGATCCTCAAGGGTCCCTTCCAACTCAGGATATTCTATGATTCTATGATTCTTATTACAGCTTCTTTATTATTATTATTATTATTATTATTATTATTATTATTCTTATTATTATTATTATTAAAGTGCTGTTTATGATATGTTGCATAGTCTTGAAACTTCATAAAAGAGTAATGTACTAACTGTGAGGGTGCTGTGGAGGGAGACTATCTGGTAGATGGTAGATGATAATTCCTCAAAAAAATAATCTGTCTAAAGATTTTTATGCTGTATTGCATCGCATTTATTGCATTCATAGCTGGGCTGTATAATAGTTATTACAGTATAGTTGCAGAAGAAAAGTTGTATGTGACTGCAGTATCCCTGTTGGAAAGTCTCATGTTTATTCTATTTTCTTTCTTTCTATTTCAGTAGAGTTAGAGACTTTAACTCTTCCCCTTTTCCCTGATGCATACATACAATCCTCTTCAATTTATTTTATTCTGTTCAGCTAGGTGAAAACCAATATTTAAATGCAGAACACTGCCCACGTTTTCCTTTAATCTTTGTGATCAGGAAAAAAAAAAAAGATTTGCTTTTACAGAAACATGAGCCTGATCATGATGCCAATATATGTTTAATGGCATAGATTTAGGAAAAAAAAAAACAACCAACCAATCAAACAAACAACCAAAACCAAACAAATGAATAAAACCTGAGCACACACAAGAAACATATCCCTGTAGTGCAGAAACTTCAACTCTTGCAGTGATTGCAGTGATTGCCTTTTTTAAACAAACAAACAAGCAACTGTGATTTTAAGACAAATTACAAGTTCACAACAATCCCTCTATAGTGAGCAACACAATGCCACTTTTTAGAGGATGTTGCAAACCAGGTGTCTGTGGGGATTCCAGTTCCTGTAGATTGTTATAACTCTTTGTTTCAAAGCTATTACAATAATTTTTAACTACTGAAACCTGTAACCTAAATCACACTATTCCACTTGCCCTTCCCTGTGAATACTTTTTTAATTTTTGTCATCTGAAACCCCGTGATGTTTTTATCTTGATGGTTAAGTCATTCTGGTAAGACACAATCCTAGGTTTCATACAGAAGCCTATACTGGGTCTTATTAACCAAATTGGGTTTTCCAGAAGTAAGATAATGTCAAGAACATGGGATGTCAAGTCTGAAATCCCACATCTTTTTGAAGCATGACACAGACAAATAAGCATCTCTAGCCACCTCCAGGCCAGAGTCTGATACTTTCTTCTGAGTTATATAGAAACAGTGGACTGCTGACCAAGGAGGTAATACATATTATTTTGTTAGCAGATTAGAAGGTGCCCAGCCTCTTCAAATTCAGAATTATAAATTGGTGTTCCATCTCTGGTAGAAAGACTTTTAAAACTGTATCTCCAGTCTCCCAGAATTACATCATAACCAGTAGGCTTTTGCCTACTTGGCTGCAGGTTTATGTTGGAACTAATGCTTGTAGTTGGAACTAATGCTTGTACTGAATAGCTATGTCTTCTTCAGGCCAGCGAGCGGTAGCAGAAGCATAGAATAGAGCAGTTCAGTTGGAAGGGTCCTTTAGAGATCATCAAGAGCTCTGTAACTCTGGAGGATACCCCAGTAGGCCTAGGTATCACAGACTGAGTTACATAGCTTTTTAAGTCATGAGATGTGATCTGCTTAAGTGTATATGGTAAGTATATGCAGATATATATGCCCTGTAAGAAGAGTAAAATGCAGATATTCCAGGACATTGTGTTTTTGTTCTGATGGTCCAGATCTACTCAGTCAGTGTAAGTTAATTCACCCAGATAGGAGTGTCCTGAGCATCATGTAGAATGCATATGGTCCTGGGAGAAGGAACCAGAGGTGAGGACTTTCTCATCACTACAAAAACAACTTAGATACATCTTGCCAAAGGACTCAAAACTGGGACATTTTCCTTGGGGTGCAAAATGAGGTTGTGAATCCGTGAAAGGAAGGGAATTCATGTTTCCCAATGAATGCTATAAACATTAGCCCGTTATAGAAGAAGTGGATGCAGTCTCTTCTTTTGGCCATGCCTTCAAAGAAGTGGCTGCAACTGCATAGTTCGAGGAGACTAATTCAGTCATTTTGTGCTAAGGATACTCTGAGCATGTCAATAGGAACTGACTCTTTAGGAAAACTGAGGAGAAGAGTGTGTGATCTGGAGGTCTGATCTAGATACCAAATTGCTTTGGAAGCATAGTTCTAGCCATGCAAAGACAAAATCCTAAATATCTGGAGAACCTTACAGACTCAAGCAGGTTAGTGCTCAGTCAGAGTTGGTATCTACAGGTTCATGCAAGAGTTGAAAGAAGAATCTTTAGGTCAATATTTACAATATTTTAATCACATGATAGCAATCTTTCCTGATACAAAAGTAAGCAGCTATGTTCAATTTCTGTAAAATGATAATTAGGTGTAGCAAATATAACTTCAACACTTAACTAGAAATTGTTTAAAGTATATGGTCACAATGGAAATTCTGTTCTGATGAGTTTGCGATCGGTAGCTGTTTGTTAGTCTCAAAACTCATATTCTATGAAACAAAACAAACTTCCTCATTCTGCATTATTTTCCTTTCTAATTTACCCAGGAGCTGGACCCAGGAGTCGGACTCAATGGTCTTTGTGGGTCCATTCCAACATGGGATATTTTCTGATTCTGTGATTTAAAGCAACAGAGCAATAAATTAATAGAAGTTACACTATATATCTATCATCATTATGCCATTCATATGATGTCTTAAAATATTTTCTATTTGTTGTAAAAGTAATCGGAAGGAAAAAAAAAAAAAGAAGATGGAGATATCTCATTTAGGTGGCAGGAAATTGTAACAGGTTTTAGAGATCAGTACTTGAAATTCAGAAGTCAAGGAGAAAGTTCTCTCTTGAAATTTTAAAAACTGATGGTTACCAATGTCATAAAGCAGGAACTCTGTGGAAAGATGTGCACTGTTCTGTTGTAGTATAATGTTGACTCAAATGTTAGAGAATTAATAGAAGCATCTCCAGAGTGATCTGTTTTTTGTAAGTAGGTGGAAGACAAAAGAGTTATTTTCTACACATTTGTCGGGCCTCAAGACAATTTCTCTTCATCTTCAAGATACTCCCCAGTGTAAAAAGCACAGACAAATCAGTTTCTCCAGACAATGTCATATGTTTTCTATTTAAAGAAACTGTGTTACCTTCATCAGAGATGGTTTATTAGAATATAGCTGAGTCCAAAGCTTGAGTGACCACAATAGGGTGGTTAAAATAGCTAAAATAACTGCCAGAGGCAGAATTAATTATATTAATAACAGCGTGTTTATTGGTGAGTCAGTGGATATGAGTGTTATGCCTGGATTAATTTGTGCTTACTGTCTATGGAAATCTTGTTTCGCCAGTGGGGCTGGGCTCAAAGCCAAGACCTTAGTTCAGGTCAGCACTCTGCGTAGGGGCTTAAAGCTAGCTCAGCAATCCAAATAACTCCCTGTAGAGCAATTCAGGAGAACATTGCTCCCCACACTCTGAAGCCAAACTATTTTTTTTTTGACCTTGGCCAGAGGAGGTTGCAGCTTCTTGATTAACTCAGTCTGGCACCATTGTCAAATACCTGTGCACCTAACATATATCCCTCTGCCTGGGATCTTCAGCTCTTTTAGAAGCCTTCCAGGCTCTAACATAAGGTTTTGTGTCTCCAGGACAGAGTTTAATCGTGACTGCTGGAAGAAAATAATTTGTTTTCATGAATTGTCTTGTTCAAGTAACACGAATGGTTATACCCTTGACCATGTTTGTTCTCATTCCCATTTCCTATCCTTTTCAGAGGCTCATGGCCCTTTCTGAAAAGATTTTATGCAGCCAGCAAGGAATACATATATCACAGACATCAAAATTGTATTTCTTCTATGAAACTCTTGCCACAGTTCACATCTAAATAATTACGACTTTTATCTATGGCTAATTGAAAATAGCTCAGAGCCAGAAGTAGAATACTTCTGCTATTTTTTTGCTGAGATTTTGAAATATTTTGAAGGTGATACACATACACACACACACACACATATATATATATATATATATATATATATATGTATAATTTTTTTTTTCCCCTGGGAAAGGTGCAAAACAGATTATCCACTTGATTTTGCAGCCCACTTTTTAAGCCGATTTGGGGCCAGCCATCAGGAAGCTCCAGGAGATGTATTTTGTAGATCCAGACCTAGTTTCTAGGCTCTGGATTATTCTTCTGACAAGGTAAGACCATTTATTCCAGTTTGTAGGTTTATCATTTCTTGCATGACATTTATACTGGTGTGTATAGATCCAAGGTAGGCTGCTAGATAAGACTGTACCAATGAGGAAAATGATGTCTGTGGCAGTACCAAGCTGGCCTGCCTGAAAGGTTTTATTTCATAGAATGATAGAATCATTAAGGTTGGAAAAGACTTTCAAGGTCATCTGGTCCAACCATCCCCCTACCAACAATGTCACCCAATCAACAATGTCCCTAGGTACCACGTCCAACCTTTCCTTAAACATCCCCAGGGACGGTGACTACACAACTTCCCTGGGAAACCCGTTCCAATGCCTGACTACTCTTTCTGAGAAGAAATGTCTTCTAATTTCCAACCTGAGCCTCCCCTGGAGCAATTTGAGGCCATTCCTCCTAGTCCTATCACTAGTTACCTGTGAGAAGAGGCTGACACCCAGCTCCCCACACCTTCCTTTCAGGCCACTGTAGAGAGCAGTAAGGTCTCCCCTGAGCCTCCTCTTCTCCAGACTAAACAACCCCAGTTCCCTCAGCTGTTCCTCATAGGACTTGTATTCCAGGCCCTTCACCAACTTCATTGCCCTTCTCTGGACATGCTCTAGGGCCTCGATGTCCTTTTTGTAGTGAGGGGCCCAAAACTGAACACAGTACTCAAGGTGCAGTCTCACCAGAGCTGAGTACAGGTGGATGATCACTCTGCTGGCTACACTATTCCTGGTACAAGCCAGGATGCCGTTGCCCTTCTTGGCTCCCTGGGCACATTGCTAGCTCATGTTCAGGTGAACATCAGTCAGCACCCCCTGTTCCTTTTCCTCTGCACAGCTTTCTAGCTACTCTGCCCCAAGCCTGTAGCATTGCATGGGATTGCTGTGACAAAAGTGCAGGACCTGGCACTTATCCATGTTGAACCTCCTCCCGTTAGCATCTGCCCATTGATCCATCTTGTCACGGTCCTTCTGCAGGGCCTTCCTACCCTCCAGCAGACAGATACTTCCCCTCACCTTCGTGTTGTCTGCAAATTTACTGAGGGTGCACTCAATTCCCTCATCCAAATCAACAATAAAGATATTAAAGAGGATGGGCTGCAACACCAATCCCTGGGGAACACCACTGGTGACTGGTGTTTCACTCTGTTGGTGAGCTGGATTTCACTCTGTTCACTACCACTCTCTGGGTCCAGCCATCCAACCAGTTTTTAACCCATCAAAGAATGTACCTGTCCAAGCCAGAGTATACCTTGATTTTGTGGAGGAAGATAACTGAGCAGTGAATTGAACAAAAACAAAGTACATGGGATAATAATCTCTCTCTCTCTCTCTCTCTCTCTCTTTTTTTTTTTTTTTCTTTACATACATCTGAGTAGATTACACTGTCTGTGCTACAAACATTCTTGGATATACACTTGGAATTATTTTACATCTAGTTTTACAGTTATATTTAAACTTGTTATATTGGTTTGTTCAAGCTGTGTATCCAGCTAGCACTCAGAGCAGCATGAAGACTCTCCTAAGTAGCAGAATAAAGAAAGGTGTGCAGAAAGAGGGGAATTTAGACCACAGTGATCACTACACTGCTGTGCCTTGTAGACACAATACTTAAAGGTAAGACAGCCATCTTAGTTGTAGCTATGGCAACAAGATTCATAGTAGTGATTATGACACTCAATCAGCATTGTGTATTTCACGTGGGAAGGAGCAAAGCTGTGGAGAAGAGGGCCTTGAGAAGTCACAGGGTTTCAAGGCACAAAAAACAAGCTTCTCAAATTGAAAGAGAAAGCAACTTGAATCGGAGACCAATTTTTTATACTGTTATTAGCTCTATGGAAAATATCAAGAAAGTTATGCCGCTAAGTGCATAGTAACAGCGTAGGTACATAGTAAGATTTTCTAAATAAACTGAGCAAATTCAAACCTTTCTAACTACTGAAACCCGATTTGCTCATTTAAATTTTGAAGATGGTATCAGGATATGTTTGTATGTGAACCAATAAAGATTTGAGAATGAATGTCAAGAACATTCTGAACCTGGTCTGGTTGTTTTTTTTACTGGTACTGACTTTTCCAAAATTTATCTACGTGCAAAGTTTGATAGGAAAATTGGTAAGGAAGTGTCTCATGAAAAGTAGTAAGGGAATGTTTTGTGTTTCAAGTTGCTAGTAAATTTACATATTTAGTAGCATTAAAATTAAGTAGTAAAATTATATGTTATATAGTGAAACAAGTAATGATAATATTATGTAATGATAATATTATATCGTAAAACAGACTTATTATAATTTGTTTAACCCTTCATGATGCATTATCTTTATATCACACTCATTAACATTTTTTAATACTACTTGGTTCTCTTTATTTGAGATTACTGTTTGAGTATTGAGACTACTTTGGTGAAAAAAAACACCTTATATGTTCAGAGAAATGATGATTTTTTTACTTTATTTAAGTAATCAAAATCCAACATAGAATATAATTTTCTAATAACCCGAGGTATTCCATTAGTTTTATTTGATATTTTGCATACCACTTGTCTTTGCAGACCTGAGATGCAGTTATTTTTTATTACATAAATTACATGTATTTATTGCTTGCGTTTCATTATGTTACATTGACTTTCTCCAAAAATTTAGGCCTGCAAAATGCATAAGAAAATCTGTTACAGTGGAGGAATAGTATTTCCATTGGGATGGCCAAAATTTTTTTCAGTCAGAACAGATTTTAAGGCCAAGGGTGTTATTGTGATGGTTGAGTCTGACCTACTGAAGAGCACAGAGTTCTGGTTTAATATACTGTTTACTGAAGTATATTTATGTAGTACTAGTCAAAATACAATCTTGCTTGTTTAATAGACATTTTTTTTTAAATTTATTTAGATTTATTCAACCCATTCAACCCATTAACCATTTTTGTTTTGTTTTGTTTTGTTTTTCCCTCCAACACAGATGAAAAATTTCAGATGGGGCTTCAACTCCTTTGAGTCAATACAGGTTTGAAGGACTAGTTAGGGACAACCCCACTTGCCCTCCCCGTCCTGAAAAAAAAGAAAAGGACTGAAAAGATACTATGTTGTATAGTATACCCACTTATACCCACTTATACCCATTTATTAAAATAATTGCAGTGAACATTACCAATAGCATTAATCTAAGTTCATATGAAGATCTAAGCTTCACTTGGCATTATTTTTTAACTTTTTCATGGTCACCAGAAGAGAAACATAAGCTAATTTGGAAGAGGAAATATGTGCTCGAAAGCATAACTGGGCATGATGTGTTCTTGTTAAGATGCATCTTCTTTTCACATAAAAATATTGCAACCAGTCCACAAGCAATATCAACAAGTTTCATGCCATTAACAACCGAAGTCAGTCATGACTATGTATTGACTATTTTTAGGACGTTTAATGAAATATAAGAAATTACAACTATATTTTTGTGCACAAGTATAAGCTGATAAGGTTTTAACAGGTTTGGGGGACTTCAAGAGGGAAAATGAGGGGGATTAAGGGGTAAATTTTGTGATATCTTCAAAGTATAAGGAGTTCAGTGAAGAATAGGACAAAGCAGTATAATCTGTGCGGTGTCAAGAGTTGGACTTGATGATCCTTAAGGGTCCCTTCCAACTCAGGATATTCTATGATTCTATGATTCTATGAATCGTACATGGGAGGATGTAAAGGGTTAAGCTATAAATAGTAACATCATTAGTCCTGTGTTTATTATGAACTCAACCTAGTTTCCTGCTAACAAACTATTTTCTCTTCTCAGTATAAACAGGCTACTACTAAAAAAAAAATCCCCAACGCCACAGACGTAAACATTAACTTAACCTGCATTAATGTTTATCAGAGTTCCACATGTAAAATAATCCTATTAAAGCAGCTGAGGAAATAGATTAGTAGACATGCATGCAACATTAAATAATTCTGTAAATTTTCTTGTCTCATGTCTCACAAAATGAATTCCTAAATGATGGAGTCTAAACATTTCCATAGTCCAACAGACAGGATTCTTCTTAGTGTCAGTAAATTCCATTTTAGAAGGTTTTATTTATTTATTGGTAATTTAGATTATAAAGGTTACTTAGGAATTAAGGTTGTTGTAAGAGCAAAGCTGAAACTGTTCTACCTGAAGAAAGAAAATACAGCAACACAGAAGTATATACTTTACATTGGTAGATGTCACTTGTTAAAACTTATTAGTGCTTTATGAAAACTGGCTGCCTTTTCCTGCAGGCGAACTAGATAATAAAATTTATCTGAGTGAATGTGGATAGCTCTACCTGAACTAGTCACTTTAAGCTTTCTTTATAATCAGTGAAGATAAACAGGCTTTCCGAGTGTGTGAAAGTTGCCATCTTGTAAGAGGTCTAAAAGAAATTAGCTAACTCATCTGAAAACCTCTTTTTCTCTCTTTTGTCTATAAGGTTCTTTGGTGGATAGCTATGATGTAGAAGTAGACACTGTAGACATACAAACTGAAGAGTTGATTACAGCCTGGGAATGGAATCCTTAATTTAGAAAAAATCATGACAAATATTTTGATAACTTCAATATCAACAGAATGTAAAAGTGTGCTCTGAAAGGGACATATACACTATATGGAAGGTAGCTAAGATTAACAATTGTTTTTATATTTCTAATTTTCCACCCACACAATGGATGTAACAACCAAACTTCGATTATGTGTTCATTGGTAGGGAGACAATCTTTCTATTACATTAAAGCCCATATAACAGATATATGGAGTTTTTGTTTTTCAAATAATTGTGAAAAAAGAGAAACCTCTTCCAACATTATTTATTCAAAGAATGCCAGTGGGCATTTTCAAAGAGATGAGTCAAAGCTAAAATGTGATAGCTATCTATAGTAGTTACCAACATTTGCTACATATGTTGATGACAAAAGAAGATTTATCACCATAATTAGGAAGGGAGAAGAAAGTCCACTTGCTGTAAGATAGACGAAGAAAAGATAATAACTGAATAACTGTGGTGACCACATTTTGTCAAGTAAATAGTGTTTTCAGACAATTAAATATGTATTTATTTTTTATAGTTTTGTATTTTCAGAATTTGTTCTCTCTTCCAGAATTGTTTGTGCAATTATGTTGTCAGTTATCAGTTTGATCACGTATTTGTCATTTTCCACAGTAATGTTTAAACCTAGCACTTAGTTTCAACTAATTCCATTCACCTCATTTGTATTTAAAATTTTAATGCAAACCAACCAAACAATCAAACAAAAAGACCAACACAACAACTTTTTTGGTCTTAAATAACTTTCAGTTAGATATTGAAAGTGGAAAAAATTTGTGCCCTTTACAAGAAAGCTAGTAAAAGACTGAAACTTGAGGTAAATTTGCTGAAATTTTGTGGCAATATTTGGGAAATGACAGATCACATATACCTGTTCAAAGTTACCAAACTTTTTAGTAGACTAATGAAAAGAGGTGTTCCTACTCACAGAATCACAGAATCACAGAATTTCTAGGTTGGAAGAGACCTCAAGATCATCGAGTCCAACCTCTGACCTAACGCTAACAGTCCCCACTAAACCATATCCCTAAGCTCTACATCTAAACGTCTTTTGAAGACTTCCAGGGATGGTGACTCCACCACCTCCCTGGGCAGCCTGTTCCAGTGTCTAACAACCCTTTCGGTAAAGAAGTTCTTCCTAACATCTAACCTAAAACTCCCCTGGCGCAACTTAAGCCCATTCCCCCTCGTCCTGTCACCAGGCACGTGGGAGAACAGGCCAACCCCCACCTCTCTACAGCCTCCTTGAAGGTATCTGTAGAGAGCAATAAGGTTGCCCCTGAGCCTCCTCTTCTCCAGGCTGAACAAGCCCGGCTCCTTCAGCCGCTCCTCGTAGGACTTGTTCTCCAGGCCCCTCACCAGCTTCGTTGCCCTTCTCTGGACCCGCTCAAGCACCTCGATGTCCTTCTTGTAGCGACGGGCCCAAAACTGAACACAGTACTTGAGGTGCGGCCTCACCATAGCCAAGTACAGGGGCACGATCACCTCCCTAGCCCTGCTGGTCACTGTTTCTGATACAAGCCAGGATGCCGTTGGCCTTCTTGGCCATCTGAGCACACTGCTGGCTCATATTCAGCTGACTGTCCACCATCACTCCCAGGTCCTTCTCTGCCTGGCAGCTCTCCAACCACTCATCTCCCAGCCTGTAGCTCTGCTTGGGGTTATTGCGCCCCAGGTGCAGGACCCGGCACTTGGCCTTGTTGAACTTCATGCAGTTGACCTCAGCCCATCGGTGCAGCCTATCCAGATCCTCCTGCAGAGCTTTCCTACCCTCGAGCAGATCGACACACGCACCTAACTTGGTGTCATCTGCAAACTTCCTGAGGGTGCACTCAATGCCCTCGTCCAGATCATTGATGAAGATATTAAAGAGGACCGGCCCCAGCACCGAGCCCTGGGGGACGCCACTAGTGACTGGTCTCCAACTGGACTTGACTTCATTCACCACAACTCTTTGGGCCCAGCTATCCAGCCAGTTTCTAACCCAATGAAGCATGCGCCAGTCCAAGTCCAGAGCAGCCAGTTTCTTGAGGAGAATGCTGTGGGAAACGGTGTACTCCCCAGACTTTGTTTTGGAAGGTAAAATTTATTATGAAATTTTGAAGAGATATTGACCTACTTTTCTCTCTACAAAGAAAAATCAGATGCTTTGATTGCTTAAATCCATCTAATAGCATTTTTAAGATGCCATTTTGAAATCACAGTCATTAGGCTATATATGATACTTTTTTTTTCTATTATTATCTATTGATTTTATTTTTTTTCATTTTGAAATAGGGGGCAAAACACTGTAAAGTCAAAAAGTGCAAGAGAAAATTTAGAATTAAAAGAATGGGATAACTTTTCAACAGCATGAGTGTTATTTTAAAATCACATTTCAATTTGAGAAAGCTTTGCTATTAAAATACAGCATCTGTCAGTAGAGATATGAATTTTTAGTCAAATCCATCGTTATACATAACTGAACACTATATACATCGTTATACTATAACTGAACACTATTTGTGTACTAGCTGTTTATCAAAAACAGCTGATGAAGTAGCTCTGTAGAATTAATTTTCAGATTGACCCTAGCAGGTTCTTTCTCCTGTAACTTGCACATAAACGCACAGATCTCCTCCCTTGTCTTTCTGCAGAAGACTGTGTGAGTTATGTTGTCACACACAGTGACCACAACTGCAGAAAAGCCAACACAATAGCAAGAAAGCAAAGATGTTATTTATATTTTTTATCACCAGCTTTATTGGGTCACTTGTGGTCTCTATTTCCTGTAACAGAGTTCAGTATAAAAACAGATGCTATAATAATTAATAGATGATATTTTCCCATCTGTGAATAGCAATGCGGATTTTTATACACCCTTAAGTTCTATTTAGAAAAGAAACACTTGAGGTAAAACTGTACACTATGTTTTGTTGTAGGAAGCAAAAACATTGGAAGATGTACGCTTTCAAAAGAACAGTGTTTAATATGAAGTAGGATGGATTTAAAAGCTTTATAACAAAGCAAATTCCTTGTAAACATAGTTTTCAGGAAATTTCGTATGCAAGCTATCCACGCCTTTTCCTGACAATGCATTGTATGATATCTCTGAAACTGCAGTTCTTTATCCCAGGTCTAACACTTAGAAGGATTTTAGTTATCTTAGATCAATGGAGGGTCAAGGTTTAGTCTTTGTTTTGTTTTGCTTTGTTTACACAAAAATTGCTGAGGAGTTTTATGTGAACGATAGGTGGATTTTAATGAATGTGTAGAGATCAGCACACAGAGTGCCTTGAAGTTTTGTGGAGTTTATTTTCTTAAACCATTGAGCAATAGTATTTGCATCACTTACTCCTCATATACAGGAGAATTCAAGCTTTTCATCCCAATTGAAATAGAAAAACTAGTTTCCAAAGTTGAACTCATACAATATCTCCTATGAGAGATACAGTGATCTAATGAAATTCACTTATTTTTTGGTAAGTCAATTTTTTTTTTTTTTTAAACCTGATTTCCCCAAAGTGACATATTAGCTTTCTTTTGAAAGGTTAAAGGATTTTTTTTTTTTAAATTTATTTTTATTTTTTTTACCTCTTAGGCATCAGTTATCTATAAATTATGCACTATTTGTTATAAAGTCTCTTCTAAGTTAATTTTTATCTGACATGGTGAAATCGACAAAAAATGGAATTCTTATATGTAACTGAGTGAAATAAAAATGTGATCCTTTGAAGGCTGGAAAAGGGACATAAAATCTGAAATTCAGGTACAGGTCTAATAAATTAGACTCATGTCTGGAGTCCAGTCAGTCCAGTGCCAATATATATCAGATAAGGGGTTTTTGATCATGGTTCCTAAACAGTCTTGACCCTGAAATTCAATATTGGAGAGGATTCCTTAATGAGTAACCTGGCTGCGCTTTGTGGTAGGATACATCTTGTAAAATGTGTCTGTCTAGTCTAAGCCATTTGTCAGGGGTTATTTAACTGTCAATGAAAGAAGTACCCCCATAGCAGATCTAGTCTGCTTTTCTCAGAATAGCTACAGTAGTTCTCTTTTACCTTCTGTCAACTCTAGAACTCTGTCATCTTGGGTTGAGCTTAATATTCAGTTGTTAAAGGTAGGGTAAGTGAAGTCTTAACTTTTATTAAATTATTATGTCTACATATAATACAGCAGTATTGCAGTTTTTATTAGGAAAATATCCCTTACTATCAACTAGAACATGTACAGGCTTGTTTATTGCTTTCTTCATCCTCCTCTAGTTCTCTAGCTCTGGAGTACCTTCTTTCCCCTATTCAAATCCTTTGTTCAGTATCAAAATTTGATTAATGTTTTCTTGGAAATTGTTCATAATTTTGGGTGTGTTTCTTTTTGTGCAACTTAAATAAATTGGAAGTGAAAGTAACAAAACAATACATGACCTTGAATAAACTAACATGATTTTAACACAATGTGAGTGAACCTCCCATCCAAAATAAACAATATAGCAAGTTCTTGAAATGATATAAGATATTCTCTCAACCATTAAAAAAGGATGTGAACAGCTCCAGACCTGTGCATTCAGGATAAAAACATTTCACACCTTTCCCCAGGTGCTTCAACATTGTCATGCAAAAATCCATTTCTTATCCTCCAGCAGGAGAGCTACAGTGATTTATAAAATGAAAACAGAGCTTGCATTTACTGTAAGGTTTCCAGCCAGGCAAATAGAATGAAGATAAAATGAAATAAAAAGTATGAAACTGAGGTTTCTCCTGCAACTATAATTTAATCCATGGGTGATTAGAAACTGGATCATTCTAGAACTGTACTGTAGAACAGGCTGAGAGGTTTTCAAACAGCTACATTGGAGATCCTGACTGGAATTAAAAGGATCTCATTTAACATCAATAGTTTGTAATCCTGTAAAATATTACAAATATTTTGTTTCAGTTCTTGGATAGATCTGAATATATTTTTCTGACATTGGTATGGCAAAATAATACATTCCTTACTCCTAAAATCTGTTCAACCTTGACTTGTGGATTCTACATATTTTGCCCAAAATGGTATTAATTGTATCAAATTGTTGACATATGAGAATGACATGAAAGCTAGTTGGGCTTTCTCTATAGTTAAAGGAAAGGGGAAGTTTCTTCAGGAACTGATTCCTCCCATCTTAAAATATGTGTTATAAATGACTCTATATAACTCTGTCTTTGAAGTTTTTGTAGAAGGAATCTAAGCAGTGAATTGGACTAGCCATCTAACACACATGATGTTTAGATGTCTAAATTTAGTAAAATAAATTACATCCCAAAAGGTCTAGCAGCAATTATAAACTGACAGTATGAATCTTCTCCTTGCCTTCAAGAAATGAATTTGAACTTCACTTGTAATATTGTCCCCATACTAAACCAATCCCTTAGAGGGGTTGTTCTCAAGAATAGAGGAATCCAACAGAGACAGTCATGTCCTGCAGGTGATGGTTGGCAGCAGGCTCCATGTGAGCCAGCAGCGTGCCCTGGCACACAAGGGGGACAAACTGCATTTTGGAGTGTATTAACCACAGCACAGCCAGCCAGTCAGAAAGGAGATCCTCACAGTGTATTTGGTGCTGGTGCGGCCTCACCTTGAATATTGTGTGCAGCTCTAGTCTCCATAATATAATAAGGATGACAAGATCTTTGAAAGCATCCAGAGAATAGCAACAGAGCTGGTAACAGTCCTGGAAGGCATGTCCTGTGAGGAGAGGCTGAAGACACTTGGGTTGTCCAGTCTGGAGAAAAGGAGACTCAGAGGCAGCCTCATTGCTCGCTGCAACTTTCTGAGGAGGGCATGTGGAGAGGGAAGTGCTGGTCTCTGCTCCCTGGGAACTGATTTCAGGGTATGTGGGAACTGCATCAGGGGAGGGAGGTTCAGACTGGACATTAGGAACACTTTATTTACCATGAGAGTGGTCAAACACTGGAACAGTCTTCCTAGAGAGGTGGTTGATGCCTGTCAGTGTTCAAGGGGCATTTGGACAATGTCCTTACCAATATGCTTTAACTTTT